CTGAGCACCAAGCCTCAGGGACCAGCACTTGGCACATGGGCTCATGTCACAGACCCTCCCAGAATGCCCGGTGGCCTTCCTCCTGACACTGTGTCACAGGGAGACCGAGCCGGGCACCCGCCGGCGCTCTGCAGACCACAAAGGGGACGCCTGGCTCTGGGAGGCAGGACTCCCTGGACTCACAACTAGATCCATCTCCCATCCCAAGCTGGAGGCCCTGGACCACGCAGCACTCAGGAAATGCTGGGGTCCCAGGAAGGCAGTGACCTTGTGCCTGAAGCAGGGCTGGCGCTGCCTCAGCCGGGAGGGGACCAGGCTGTAGAGGTGCCCGGAGAATCCACAGTCACTCTGGGCTCCCTGGCTTCTGGCCTGGAGAAGCAGAAAGGACGTATGACAGGGGCCGACGGCAGGGCAATGCGGAGTAGCCTTTTTGTCTGTTGGGCGCGATTGAGTGCTGGGCAGTTGGCAGGGTCTTCATCAGCGTACAGTATTAGCCCAGAAACAAGACCTCATCCTTAGCAGACATCTCCCCTGCTCATCTCAGGACCCAGGCAACGGCAAGGCTCACAGACATCTACCTGCCCCCTGACCCTGTTTATCTAACCCGGTTTGCAGTTCTCACTGTTTCCTGGGACCCCTCCCAATACATATGGCTTGAGGTGGCCATGCCCCGATTTCCAGTTTTCTAAGACCCCATCCATGAGAGAAGTCGGGGTGCAATGCCAAAGAGGGTTTGGGGTGCCTTGTCCCCTGCAAGCCCTCCTCCCCAGTCCCTTGGCCACTAGACATAAAAGCAGAGACCTCTTGGACTGCGACAGACATGGAGCCCTCACCTCCAAGGGGTGAGCCCTCAAGGAAATCTGCCTGGTAATGGGTCACCTGACCAAGGCACCCCTGGGTTCAGTGTCTCTATCCCTCCTGCCCCTGGCCCCCCAGTTCAGCCCTGGGACAAGCCAACCCCTGTTCCCACAGCGCAGTCCTTCCCTGCCCTGCCCATCCTGTCCCACAGGGTGACATAGCAGTCCTGGAGGAACATGGGGACCAGCTTCAGAAAGGACAACACCAAAGTCTCCCCTGGAAGAGCCATTCTGGGCAGAAAGAGGTTATGGCAGAAGCCCTAGCACAGGCCATCCTGCCCAATCCACATTCAGATCAGCTTCAGTGCACATCTCCTGGAGCCAGCCCACCTTTCTGGCTTGCAGGCTCCCCCTAGTCTGGGGATGAAATCCTGCAGCACTGGACCCCTTCCTCACACCATATACAAATACTAACTTTAAAATACTCTTTAGGGGTGCCTGGGTGGCTCAGTCGGTTGAGTGTCTGCCTTCTGCTCAGGTCATGATCCCAGGGTCCTGGGATGGAGCCCCACATCGGGCTCTCTGCTCAGCGGGGAGCCTGCTTCTCCCTCTCCCTCTCCCCATGCTTGTGTTCCTGCTCTCTGTGTGTCTTTCTCTGTCAAATAAATAAATAAAAAATCTTTAAAAAAAAAATCAGTAAAAATGGTTCTTTACACATTGAGGATTCTGACCATAGGTATCAATGGAGTGGGTTAAGACTGGTGGTTGTCAGTCAAGGTGATTTGCTTCCCAGGCAACACCTGACAATGTCCAGAGACATTTTTGGTTGTCACCACGGGGAGGCAGGGCATGCTGCTAGCATCTAGCGGGGAGGGTCCAAGGCTGCTGCTCAACATCCTACACTGCCCGGGGTAGCTTCTCCAACACTCCCTAAAGAAGCATCTGGTCTAAAACGCCAACAGAGCCAAGGTTGAGAAACCCTACTTGAGATCAGTGTTTAAAAAAATGAAAAAGAATTTAAAAAATGAAATAGAATAGAAAGAGTGAATCCATATAATGCGGTTAAGTATATTTTTCATGCAAGTTTTATTATAATTAGTTGTTTGTGTAATTCTGGTCTTCATAAAAATTCCCCTGGGCCCTTGATAAAAATGCAAATGATTGGATTTCCATCTAAAATTCTGACAGAGGATCTGGAGAAGGATTCAAGAATCTGAATTTTTAGCAAGTACCCCCACAAGGCTCTGGTGGACCATGGACTGTGCTTTGAGAAACACCTGAATAGATGCCCTTGAGAAAGAGGTGGTCCGTCAGTAAGTGATGAGCCTAAGAAGGATTTGAAGGGGCTTTTTTTTGTGCCAGGCCCCACATTAAGTATTTTATATACATGATCTCATTTAATCTGTCACATTGTATGTGCTCCCTCATTAATGTGTTAAATAAAATCATTAGCATGTGTTTATTTTATGTCAGTAGGAGAGTCATGGTTTCATCTTTTCTGAGATGATCCTGTAACAATTTATCGCGTTTCACACACCTTGGGCTATTCAGGGGCCCTCAAGAATACAGACAGGAATTTGCTCAAACTCCTAAGTAGTATAAGTAAAATCTGGTGGAGAGAGCTTCTGGAGCATGGCTTCCATACTTTGGGATAGCAAATACCAGACTTCTAAAAATCCCACCAGATATTCCTTATGAAGGCTTCCAGCAAAGCAAACTCAAGAAGGCCTTTACAGTGAATTAACGTGCTTGTACCTATGCAAACAATCAGGCCAAATCTAATGAGACCAGCCTTATTTTGTGATCAGAAGTATCTTTCATTGAGGTTATGAGACTGTAAAGGACCTTTGCGCGTCAATGGAAACTATGCAGTGTCTAGAACACATCCTTCCAGGTTACGGGATTCTAGCCTTTGAGTCATTTTGACAACTCTGTATAGTGTAGACAACTGAGAGCAATGCGAAATTATTCTAGGCTGTGGGCAATAAACTCTCTCTCCATGTAAATAAGTACATGGAAATAATTCTTCCCCCTGAATAAAAAGCCAGTTTTGCCTCCATGTGCACATTTCAGTATCTGTAGTCTTCTAGAATCTTCTTTGGATTCTCTTGCAAACTGGTTGTTAGATCTTTCTGGTTCCTTGGTTAATGAGTTAAGTAAAAGCTTCCATACATGTTCATTCTACATCTGTATGAAACAGCTTTATTTCCTTTGTTTTGGTCTAAGGTTCTGCTTTTCTAATTGCCTAGGTCATTGGTCCTATAATCTCTGGATCCAGTCAGCAATTTTTAAAATTACATGTGAAACATCAATCTGCACTGCATGAAATAAAACTGGGTATTATTTTATGAAATTTCCACTCGTTATACATGTGTCTATTTATTGTAGATGGACTTAAATGTATTTTTTTTACTTTGGATTGCTTTGAGGTCAATACTTGGGTCCTTGTGTTTGTCTTGTAATACTCAATTTTTACTCACTAAAGATTTATTGAGTGACTGAAGTATTTTTAAATCGGGCAGATTTAAATGGAAAGTTCGAAAGCTTCACGGTTCATGCTTCGTCACTCTCTTATCCCCTCCGCTCCCCTTCCCCAGAAACGAGGCACAGAGCAATTTTGGGCGCAATACTCAGCTGCCCACTCTGACATTGCTGTCATGCAGGTGGTCACAAAGGGCTCGGTGTCAGCCTAAGACCCAAGAGACACACAGTATTACAAACTGCCGGGTGCCTCTCAGGCAAGATCTAATCGGTAAGGTCCTCAAAGTCTGAGCCTCACTCAGCAGCTGATGGTGGGTCAACAGAATTACCTTCACGCACAGAGAGTGAGAACCGCCATCCCCATCCGCCAGTACCCGGGTCCTTACTGCCAGCTTGCTGGGTGCAACACTTGGGGCAAATTCCATCGATTCTCTAGACTGATTTTACCTGTGAAACAGGAAAAGTGGCAAGTGAGATACTGTATATGAAATTCTTCTATAAACTGTAAATCATCACACAAGGACAAAGAGTTCTTTCTCACGCCCAGGAGTCCTGATGTTTGAAAAAGCTCCTGGGTGACTCCAATTGCTGTCTCCCTCCCACACATGCTAATGAGCTATGAGGGGTAGAGGTGTGCACTGACTGACTCGTGAACTCTCCTATGAAATACGCATGCTTTGTGTGCATACGGGTATCATTCCTGGGCGGTGTTGAGGGTGGCAGTGGACCCTCCCCGCCCCCCCGGGCGATTAAGAATCACTGTTCTAAAGCAGGGCTTCTCAACCTCAGCACCATTGGCATTTTGGGGAAGGGGGGGCTGGATGTTCAACAGCATCCCTGGCCTCTGCCTGCTGGATGCAGCAGACCCCAGCCCAACGATCGATATTGCTGTATGTGCCCTGGGAACCCCTGCTCCTGAGCACCTGAGAGATGCATAGGGCACAGAGAGGAAGATTCTAGCTCCAGGTCCTCCCAGCCCCAAGTCCTTCAGTCACCAGATCAGAACCTGAGCTTTTTTTCTTTCCTTTTTTTTTTTTTTTTTTAAGTAATCTCTATGCCCAACGTGGGGCTCAAACTCACAACCTGGAGATCAAGAGTGGCATGCTTTACCCACTGAGCCAGTCAGTGCCCCAGAATCTTAGCTATTTTTTTTTTTTTTTTTACTCCTTCCTTACCAGGCCTCATGTGTCCTCAAATCTCATTCTCTGTACACCTGGTCACACCACCTCCCATGGCCTTTCCACTGAACATCACTCCGGGGCTTTGATCCTCACCTACTCCTCAGCGGTCTTTCCATCCTGCATCCAGCCCGGCCAATTCTCCCTACACAGTGCCAACCAGTTAATCTTCCTAAAGCTGAACTTTAATTATTTCTCTCTCTAGTAAAAATCGTCTCCCTCTCCGTTATAAACACTCCACACTCCAGCCCCAACCTCACACACTATCTCTTCTCCAAGTCTGACTAGGAGCTTTTGGAAGAGGAACAGGAAAAACCTGATGGCATCAAACTAGAACATTCAAATCAAGTCCTCGAAGTGATTTTGGCCCTGAGAAGCAGAAATGTCAACATATTAAAAATATACCTTTTCTATGGAATTGAAGGTTACTCATGATTATCTGATTATTGGAACTCAGCATCCCCCAAAGGCAAGACGTAAAGGCGGAGAAAGACGGATGTTTGTTAAAGCAAGGGTTTCAAACTGTGGTCAGAACCATTAGGTCCTGAAATCATTTCCATGGGTTAGCAACAGTCATTTGGAATGGAAAGAACAGAAGAGAACAGAATGGAATCAGAACAAAGGTAGAGTAGATCTGGCTGTTATGAGAGGTTAGGGTCATTTCTCCTTTTGAACTTATCTTCCAGTAATCACATCTACAGGCACAAGTTATGCATGGAGAACATATTTCTTGAGTCAAAAGTTTGAAAGTCACAACAGGCAATCTGCGTAATCAGAAGTGGAAGGAGGGATGTAATAGCAGCAAAAAGTGCAAGGTCACTGGGACCTACAGAGCCGCGCAGACGGGACGGGGTTGGGGTGGGTGCCAGCGCGGGTCAGCGCCGGTGCGGCGGACACGGGCGGGGGGTAGGAACGAACGGGGGGCTCCCTTGCTGGGGATGTCAGGGCTCAGTCGGGGTCGGCTGTATTGGGGCGAAGGAGGAGCCAGGAGAAAGGAGACGAGTCTCGGGTGAAGGACAAGGAGCGGCCCGAGCGCCGGGACACGGAGCTGGGTGACACTACCCCCCCTTCCAGCCTCAGCAGCCCTCGGGACCCTCGGGGAGGCCTGGCCGGGGGCGCGGCCAGCCGTGTGACCCGGGACCCTCCCCGGCCCGCTGGGGCCCGTGCTCACCGGGCACCGGCCGGGCGGCGGCGGCAGCGGAGCCCTCCCTCTCTGGAGACCGAGCCGCGGCGGGTCCTTTGGCCTCGGCCGCCTCAGCCACAGGCGTCGACCTCGCGGCCCAGGCGCCTCCGGCCACCACAACCCTAGCGCCCGCTCCCAGCCCCCACCGGCCCTCTCGGGAGCGAGCCCCGTGCCCGCGCGCCGCCCCACTAGCCGGGAGCGCGCGCCACCCCGCGGGGAGCCGACCTCTTGGAACGCCCAAGCGGGCTCCCAGCGAGCATGCGCAGCAGGGCCGCGGGGCCCCATTCCTTGAGCAAACTCCTCTTCTCCGGCTCTTCTGCGAGCGGCGCCGAGCTGGCTGCCTGACCAATCGGCGCGGGGATATGGGGCAAGGGTTTGCGAAAGGGGCGGGGTAAGCTCAGGATTGGGCGGGGGCGTCCGGGGGCGGGGCGTCGGCCGGACAGGCGGCAGGGACTGGGGATTCTGGGCGGGGGCTCTGAGACTAGGGAGTTGATAAACTCAAATTTGAGAGGGAGAAGCAGACTTGCCGCTGAGCAGAGAGCCCCATGAGGGGCTCCATCCCAGGACCCCGAGGTCATGATCCCAGCTGAAAGCAGACGCTTAACCGACTGAGCCACCCAAGCGCCCCATGCCTGGAGTTTTCAAAGTTCATCCATGCTGCAGCCTGTGGAAGTATTTCGTTTTTGTAATGGCCAAATAATATTGCATTGTATATATAGACTATGATTTGTATATCCGTTAATCTGTCGATAAGCATCTGGGTTGTTTCCAGGTTTTGGCTACTATGATTCACGCTGCTATGAGCATTCATGTCCAGATTTCTGTGTGTACGTATGTTTTCAGTTCTTTGGGGTGTGCACCTAGGAATGGAATTGCTCGGTCATATGGAAACCCCATGTTTAGCCATTTGAGGAACTGCTAGACTGTTCTCCACAGGGTCCTCACCATTTCACATTCCTATGAGCAGCTTATGAGGGTTTCAATTTCTCCACATCCCTGTCAACACTTGCTATTATCTGAGTATAGCCATGCTGGTAGATATGCAATGGTATCTCATTGTATTTTGGGTTTTTTTAAGATTTTATTTATTTATTTACTTGAGAGCGAGAACACAAGGGGAAGGGGCAGAGGGAGAGGTAGACAATTGAGCCAACCAGGTGCACCAAGCTTTTGCAATTTTTTTTTTAGCTTTTGCAATTTTTAAAAAAGATTTTATTTCATTTATTTGAGAGAGAGAGCACGAGCATGGAGAGGGGCAGAGGGAGAGAGAAAGAAGCAGGCTCCCTGCCAAGCAGGGAGCCGGATGCGGGGCTCAATCCCAGGACACTGCAATCATAACCTGAGCCAAAGGCAGACCCTTAACGGACTGAGCCACTCAGGCGCCCAGCTTTTGCATATTTACTGTTAATTGCTTGTTTTACACTTTGCTCTTCTTATCGAAGTCTAGTTGACGAACAATGTTATATTAATGTCATGTGTACAACATTGTGACTGGGCAATTCTATATACTAGGCAACAGCACACCACAATGAGAGTGGTCAGACCTGTCACTACACAAGGTTATTACAGTATCACTGTATTCCCCAGGCTGCGCTCTTCACCCCTGTGATTTAGCCAACACATTCTTTTTTTTTTTTTAAGATTTTTATTTATTTATTGAGAGAGAGAATGATAGAGAGCATGAAAGGGAGGAGGGTCAGAGGGAGAAGCAGACTCCCTGCTGAGCAGGGAGCCCGATGCGGGACTCGATCCTGGGACTCCAGGATCATGACCTGAGCCGAAGGCAGTCGCTTAACCAACTGAGCCACCCAAGCGCCCATAGCCAACACATTCCTTTTTTTTTTTTTTTTTAAGATTTTTATTTATTTGACAGAGAGACATAGCGAGAGAGGGAACACAAGCAGGGGGAGTGGGAGAGGGAGAAGCAGGCTTCCCCCTGAGCAGGGAGCCCGATGTGGGGCTCGATCCCAGGACCCTGGGATCATGACCTGAGCCGAAGGCAGATGCTTAACGACTGAGCCACCCAGGCGCCCCTAGCCAACACATTCTAAAAGCACTACATTTTTACTCCCCCAGCACCCAAACTGAACAGCAAAAACAATGGAACTTCATTTTTTGTTGTTGTTTCTTGTGTTTTTGGTGTCATATCTAAGAAATCACTGCCTTGGGTCACCTGGGTGGCTCAGTCAGTTGAGCATCTGCCTTTTGCTCAGGTCATGATCCCAGAGTCCTGGGATCGAACCCCTTGTGGGGCTCCCTGCTCAGTGGGGAGCCTGCTTCTCCCTCTGCCTCTCCCCTCACTTGTGCTCTCTCTCTCTCAAATAAGTGAGTAAAATAAAATAATCACTGCCTAATCCAAGTTCACAAAGATTTACTCTGTATGTATTTTAAGAGTTTTATACTTTAACTCCTACATTTGAGTCTTAGATCCGTTTTCAGTTATTTTTTGTATATGGGGTGAGGTAGGGCTCCAACTTCATTCTTTTGCACGTGGATATCTTTTCCACATAGTAGTCCTGCTACTGTTGAGAATGAAACTATTATTCCCCCATTTAGTTGTTTTGGCTCCCTCGCTGAAAATCAGCTGGCCATAAATAAGAGGGTTTATTTCTGGACTCTCCATTTTATTTCATTGGTCTATGGCCCTTCTTATACCAGGACCACACTGTCTCGACTATTGCTCCTTTGTAGTAAGTTTTGAAATCAGAGAGTGTGAGTTCTCCAATCTTATTCTTTTTCAGGATGGTTTTGGCTGTTCTGTGTCCCTTCAGTTTCTAGGTGTCATCTTCTTTTCAGTCTTTTTTTTTCTTTTAAGATTTTATTTATTCATTTAGAGAGAGAGTGAGAGCGGGAGGCGGGGCAGAGGGAGAGGGAGAGAATCTGCACTGAGTGAGGTGTAGGACATGGGCTAGATCTCACAACCCCCAAGATCACGACCTGAGTGGAAATCAAGAGGCTGGAGTTTAACAGACTGAGCCACCCAGGTGCCCCTCTTTTCAATACTTTTGAGAACAAATCTCTATTTTAATTTTACATCGAGAAAACACTGCACAGCAATTATTTTTGCGGGTCTCTGGCTTTTCACTGAACTCTACATTGTAAACATCCCGTATGTCATAGGCTTATTTTATATGATTAGCTACACAATTTAGTTCTTTTCTTGGTGGACACTGCAGTTCTAAATCCCGTTATTATAAATACTAACCCGTGGCTGGCTTCATTCCTAACATTTGGGAAATCTGGGTGAAGAGCATATAGGAATGCTTTTACACTTCTTGCAACTTTCCTACAGGTGTGAAATTATGCCAACATAAAACGGCAAAGAGGGGCGCCTGGGTAACTCAGTCGGTTAGGTGCTGACTCTTGATTTTGGCTCAGGTGGTGATCTCAGGATCCCATGAGACCTGGCACCTCCTCCCTCCCCCACGGTCCCTCCCTTGCCCTCCGGTCCAGCCCCACCCACAGCCCACAGCCGCTGGACGCTTGTCGTTCTCCGACCACCTAGTGCGGTGGGGACCTGGACCACAGCGGGGAGCTGCGGGTCTCGGAGCTGCGGGCTTGGGCGCTGCTTTCCTGGACACTTGGCGGGCGGCGGCCTGAGCCGCCCCAGTATCAGCCCAACTGCCGCCCCAGGTGCGGGGACGCCCCCTTCTCCACTCCACACGGCGCCCCGGGCCCTCTGCTCACCGCGACCCTCCCCAAGCCCGCGAGGACCCTTGGATCCGCCCGCTCCCCTTCGCCGGGCCGGAGCCCCCAGTGTTCCGGCTGCGCGTCCTCTGCGCCTTTGCAGAGTGAAGACGCTGCTCCTCTCCAGAAACCCCCACGCTGCCCTGACACCCCCGCCCCTGCGCCTCCCTCCTGTTGCCATAAAGCTGCTGCTGGAAGTGCCCCCCCTCCCGGGCAGGTGCAGATGCAGGTCCCGTGGGGCCAGCCGGTCCTCCGACTCCCGCCCCGCCACCCCTCGGCGCGCCCCACTCCCTGTTCTCCATCAGTCCCAGATCCACAGGGACCCCTGCTCCGGGGTGCTAGAGCTTCTGTCGGGGAGACCGGGCGAGAAGCAGTGGCTACAATGAGTTGCGTGGGCGGTTACAGGTGGTGCGTACGACGAGGGTGGGGCGCTGCAGGTGGTTACGGAGGAACCCTGGCGGCCGGATCGCCTACGCCCACCCCTGCGGAAGGCGGGTGGGAGCCGCTGCGCGCTCCTTCCGCTACGGAGGCTCCGGGACCGCGGCCGGCGAGCCGCGCACGCCCCCTGTCGGCCGCCGCCCGCCTCGGCCCCGGTGCGGGCGGTGGGAACCCCGGGAGCCAGAGCGGAGGCGGTGCTCACCAGAGAGGCGGAGCGTGCTGCTGCTGTCGCTATTATGATTACCATTCTCTCGGTGACAGCACCCGTGGGCAAGGACGCGTGGGGCCGCGGGGAGCATGGGAGTTGCTGGTCCTCCCCGTGAGCAGCGGTCTCCCTTGTGGAGCTTCGTCCCATGAAAACCCAGGGCTACTTAAAGGCTTGTAGAGCAGCTGGAGAGGACCGGGGTGCAGCCGGCGTCAGGACAGCCGGATGCATGGTCTCCCGTCCCCGTAGTGGCATGCTGCAGTCCGTAAAACCGCGTTGGAAAGTCATTCGTAATGGATTAGGAGAAAATGAGCTGTATCATCCCAATTTTCTGAATATGAAAAATTTATAGACTTATCTCTAGATGATAGAATTATTGGAGATATTTGTAACACTTTTTCATAATCAGTACGTATTTATTTCAATGACCATGAATTATCTTTTTTTTTTAGCTTGAGGACCAATAAATTATGTTTTGAAGGAAGTGTATAGTCATCTTCTTTACTTTTTTTTTTTTTTAAGGGGCGGGAGGGGCAGAGGGAGAGGGAGAGAAAGAATCTTAGGCCGACTCCATGCCTAGCGCACAGACGGCTGGGACATGGGGCTCCATCTCAGGACCCTGAGATCATGACCTGAGCTGAGCCGACAGAGCCTCGCAGATACCCTGACTCTTGAGGCAGAGCCTCCTTCATTTTATAATGAAGCCCCCCAACCAAGTCTCTCACAGAGTGCAGAGACCCAGCGCTGGCATCAATCTGTGACCTCTGAGGATTTTCTGCTCTAACATCGGGGAACCACTGTTCACAGGAACACGGCGATTCTCCTCCTGGTCGCTGGCACTGTCCCTCCCCGATGGGACAACCTGTCACTGAACCAGTGTCAAGTCTTGACAGCACCGCCCACCTCCCCTCGGTCTCCTGTCCCCCAAGGCCGTGGTGACCTTCTTGCCAGCCTTTCAGAGCCCCCTTTGGACATTTCCAGTCGGTTCCCCTCATGGAGCCCGTGGGCTTTGTACAACAACGCTGACCGTGTCCCTCGTCTGCCTAAATCCTTCCCTGGCCTCCCACTCCCCATCATGAGCCTGGAATCCTCCCTGTGGGCTCCAGGCCCCCAGACCCTGAGCCACTGCCCACCATGTCCTGCCATGGGCCAGGTCTGCTGGGACAGCAGGCCGAGCTGCACCAAGTCGCCCCTTGCCGGCCCCCCTGTCCTCCGCAGGCCCCTTCTTCACTCTGCTTCCCAGGGGGAACCCCACCACCAACTCCTCAGGCGTTCCTGTCATCTGACCACACCAGCCCATGAAGGGGATGATGCAGAGCCACAGGAAAGGAGAAACATGGTGAAGAGCAGAATCTATTTAAATATCAAATTAGGACAAAGGAACATTTCAAATGATGGTTACAGAGCATAAATGTTAACAACCACGCTGGAGGAGAAACAGAGCAAGATGGAGCTGGGCCAGGAGGGGTGCTGAGGAACTCACTTTTCCTAAGAGGGGTCCATGATGCAAGCTAAATTTGGGAAGATAATGTTCAAAAGCATAAGGCCTCTAGTCTCAACATTTTAGAAATAATCCATTCGTTTCCTTTGCCCCATGGCAGTTTCCACAAAACGAGGACCATGTGAGGTGAAGCCAACTGGAGGCCGAAGCCTTTCCTGTGGGGGGCCTCCAGGGAACCCTGACTTCCGTTTGTAGGGGGGGTAACTGTGTTCTGTTCACTTCCTCCTCCAGCAGGTGTGGCACCCGAGGTGCCTGGGGAGGGGTCAGGTGCCCAGGAAGCTCAGCCCCCAAAACACCCAGAAGGAACATGATAGGGGCATCATACACTACGGTCGGGGCCCACCCCCTCCCCAGCAGAACTCTGGGCAACCATGAACACAGGCTCCCATGAGGGGTGGGGGGAAGCTGTCAGTTGGTGGGATGTCTAGAGGAGGCAAGCCTCCTGGGAACAGGCCCTGGAGGGATGGTCAGGGAGGGGCTGGATAGGCTTCCCAGGGGCTCAGGCCTGGGGGTCCCACTGCACCCCTTTCAAGCCAGAAACAGTAGGAAGTAGAAAGCTCAGAGAGCCCACCTAGTCTCCAGGCCAGTGGTGGCTCTCCAGGCTGAGGGGCCAGGGTCTGAGCCCTGGGACAGGGCCTGGGGAAGGCTGGTGGGGTTGCGGTGGGGTCTCAAAGGACCACGGAAGGTTATAAAACCTGTCCATAATGGGACCTCGCATACAGCTTCTTTTATTCTTTTTGAGGTTTTTTTTTTCTGTTTATAAAAGTAATTTATGCTTGATTTGGAAAAAATTACACAATGTTTGAGAATGAAAACCAGTTGCAACTGGGTCCCCAGCAGAAGTCACAGCCAAGGTCACTGATCCAGTAAGGGCATACCGTGCTTGTCAGAGTTACAGGAGGGTGCTGGGCATGACAGCATCTGCGGTGGGCTCCTCCCCTACGACCTCAGTACTGGGGGCAGACTGCCCTGCCAACCTTCCGTCTTCTTTTCCGGCTGGAAGAGAAGGGAGTGGGTCAGGCTGGTGTCACAAAGGAAAAGGGAGGGTGGGCAACCCAGGGCCTGAAGCTCTCAGCCCAGCCAGGGGATGCTCTGGGATGCCGTTGGCTGACTTACAGAAATAATTGCTGATTTCAGAGACGTGCTCCCTAAGACCACCAGCCCAGGGACAAAGAGGCTGTTAAAGTCATTTCCAGGGAACTTTGGGCTAAATCTGGGTTGAGCACCAGGAAGCCACTGCTACCCCCACCACCTGGCCTGGGATGGGATAAGAGGTGGGAAAGTCTGGGGACCAGGTATTGAGGTAAACACAGGTGGCACGTTGAGGGGGTTGCTCACTGCCCAAGAGCACCTGCCTAGGGGAACCTGTGGGGCTGAGATGTAGCCCTTGCTCTGCCCTCCAGCCCTCCATCTGAGGACAAGTGGCTTCGTTTTAATTCTCGCCAATGGGCCACCTGCGGTGGATGGGGCCCACATGGTGCCAGAGCCCAGGCAGATCCGAGAAGTGCGCAGAGGTCTCAGACGGGGTGGAAGGACCAGGAGACGGCCCATCCCACCCAGCTCCGTTAGAAGAACAGGCTCTGACCAGACGCTCCCTACTCCACCCTCTGCAGTGACCAGCTGGTGGCCTCAGAGTGGTGACTTAGCTCCTTGAGCCCTGCCTCTTCACAGGTCATGGGGACCACACTCTCCACCCCTTGGATTGGTGGGAGGCAGCAGGTAGACGTGAGGGCGCACTTGGGGCAGGACTGGCCAGTAGAAACACTCAAGGGTGAGCTGGATGTGCCGCAGAGGGGCCTCCAAGCTCTGGGGGGATGGGGTCCCCCGAGTCCTTGAGTGCAGCCCTGTCCAGCAGTTGAGGGAAGCTGAGGGGTCCCTTGGGTCCCCTGAAACTCCAGGCCTGTGGCTGGGGACTCCCCCATCTTGGGTGCCATGGTGTCTCGGTCCAGGGGAAGCAGTGGAGTTCCCTCCCCTTGGACCTCAGACCACTCACTCCTACACTTCCATCAGTGAGTGGGGTCCCCTACACTTCCCAGGCCAAGCGCCCTGGCTGGCTCCAAGGGGGCCACCTGTTCACAGGCAGCAAATGGGGGCCAAGTGTTATGGTTTTATTGTCCCCATCTTCTCAGGGTACAGCAGACCCCACTTCCACTTGGGAAGAAACCCAGCTCAGCTTTCCCCAGCCACTGGGCATCCCTTCCCTCGAACGCCCCTCAGGAGTCCACGGTCAGAGAATGCATCGATGTGCCGATGTCGCCCGCAGCAAGCCGGGTGGGGGTGGGGGGCCTGCCTGGGGCCTCAGCAACATACACCCCTAGACCCCCAGACACATAAACACATACACACGGAAGAACAGACAGGAACAGAAATAGGCCCAGGACCCACACAAATATATCTGGAGGGACACACCCACTCACCCTCCCAGGCCAATCCCCACATAGACACGTGTGCGTGGAGGCCTACGGACATGCAGGCCCTACACCGAGGTATAACGTGGACAGCATGTGACTGTCCAGAGCCAGCCCGGCCCCCAGGCTCCCGGGTGTCAGGGGACTTCCAACCCCAGGAAGGTCTTGACCACACCGTGCTCACTCCGACCGCCCGGGGCCTCACCTGTGTCCAGCTTGCTGCGTTTCTGCTCAGGCTCCTGTGGTGGTGCCTCGATGGCCCTCTGAGCCTCAGGATGGATCTTGAGGAGGGCTTTGGCAAGGGTGGCGGGGCCAGGCACTCCCAGGGACATGATGCAGTGCACCCCTTTGCGCTTGGCCCCTGCCACCTTCGCACTGTCCTTAGAGGCCGTCAGCAGGACCAGTTTGGAGAACTTCCTGGGCTTCCTGGGCGCTGCAGGGACAACATCTGTGCCTGGCTCAGGGGACTCTGGGGATGGCTCCTGGCCAGCCTTCACACTCTCGCCCTCTTGCTCGCTGGGCTCCGGCAGGGGCATTCTGGGACGATGGCCTGTCCCCCAGGCCACACTCAGGCCCCAGCAGATGGAGTTCTCTTCCTCCTCCTCCTCCCTGGTCGGGAACCTGGCAGTCCAGGGGCTCTGTCCTAAGGAAGGAGGCAAAACCCATCAGTGGAGGCCCCCTTGGGCCTGGGGCTCAGAAAATGGACGTGGGGTGGAGGTGGAGGCAGAGGGGGCTGAAAGGCTGGGGAGGGTCCCGCACGGAGCTGGGGAACCCCGGGTCGGTGCTTCCACTCGGCTGCATCCTCTCAGGCAGCTGGGGTCTGTCACCTCCCCTCCCCAAATGCCACTTTCCTGTCTGTAAAATGTGCCACAGGCAGGGCTCTCTGGGGGCTGTTGGGGTGCAGGCAGTGAGGCACTGAGAAC